CTTAGGATGACCGAAAATGAAAAATCTTTAATTGGTTCATAAATAGTAGAACTGGCATTTTGCACTTCATCTACTGCAAAACGTCTCATAAAAGAAAATTGATCGTTTTTAAATATAGAAACCCAACATTAGACATTTATTTCTGTTACTAATTTTTATCATCATTGCCTATTCATAACATAAATATTTTTTATGGTATGTACGACTTCTTACAAAATATTTAGTGAAAAATGTATTTAACATTTAAGTTATTATAGTTGCGGTACATAAATAAACTGTTATCAAAACAGTGCCTTGGAAACAATTCTCGATACACCAATAATAGCCCATTATAATTGTTGTCCTCAACCAAGAAATTTCCAGAACAGCATGTGGTAAATAATAACGCAGTAACTGCGCGCAACGCAGTAAACTCGCCAGTATATCTTGCACGAATCGTAAGGGATCTAAGATTTATTGCCGCCACTAGAAACCTGGAACCTTTTCCCGCTGTCGCCACTGTCAGAATAAACGATACATTCGTCTCTTTCACTTATCAAATTTATGAGCGAGACGGAATGGGTATAGACGTGAGAATTCCGTCTGTTTGCATCAAAATAGGTTTGTTAGGGGAGTGTTAATAACGCTATTTTGCGAAGGGCGCTCAATGGGTTTCCTCAGATTGTAACCTTACAATTTTTCATATACGTTCAAGTATAATTGTTTGTCTATGTAATAGAGTTCACTTTAGCTGAACAGGACTACACATTAACGTTGTTTCACCTTCTGGTCACAGAGCATTCGCTTTAATCTTTATTTCTACAGTTTTAAAGTTCAAATTTCATGTATTTCGGGGCAAAAAACATTTGTAATGCGGCAGCTGTAGACAGCCATCTAGTTCAGATGTTATCAATCATTGTTCGTAAATTTATTAAGAGTTATTAAAGGAAAACTTGAAGGATGGGATCGTTGAGAGGCTTTGATAATTTCGAGATTTGATTTATTGCTTCGAAAGGAACTATTAAATTGAACGCGGGTGCCTGACTTATTGATATTAATTAAATTTTAATATAAGAGTCAAATAATTTTTTTTTATCATAATGAAGTGACAAATGAGTTAACTAGTGTAATCCAATCGACATCGGGTACCACTTTATATTAAAAAGCCTACCAACCGAAGTGTTGTTACTCTTGAGATATACAATAAAACCTCACAGTCTTTAATTTTATTTACTAATTATAAATCAGTACTTCGCTGCATTCCTACCTAGGGGCAAGTGGTGCAGCCCTAGATGGTAAATCGCACTGTCTTAGCGTAACATAACCCTATTCGCTCTTGCCCCGGCACATTACTCCATTCCTTTGATGTACGGATTACGAAAGACAAAGCAAACTATTTGGTTTAAGGTGAAAGCTCCAGGGAGGCCCGCGAAATTCAATTTTTCTTGCGTTTTTTGGAATTTGCAGGTCAGGGTCAGATTATATGTTTAATAAAATATGATTTGCGACTATAAAGAGTATGTGTTTATAGAATTAATATCATTAAAATCACCAATAAATCCCTCTAAGTTCATAAAATCCCCTTGAATGAGTTTTTCTGGAAATAGCCATATATTGGGATTATACGAACATAGGTGGTTGTATTGATGATTATAATGATTATAATTCTGTAAATACATACTCGTTACGGTCGCGAATCATATTTTGTTAAACATACAACCTGACACTGACTTACAAATTGCAAAAAAACTTAAGAAAATTTGAATTTCGCGGGTTACCCTGGCGCTTTCACCTTAAATGCGGTGGGCAACAAAGGGATGGAGCCCTGACGACCGTCTGTTTCTTTACTGGTAAAAAGGGTAGGGAGATAATAAATCATGTAATTAAATTTAACCCTTATTAAATATTTACCATAATTCATCTATTAATTACAGCCTATCAAAGCGCCACCTCGATAGGTGGTTTAGATACATAATAGGACCTGAACGCCCTAGACGAAGGTTTATCGACCAAATCGGCGATATATTAAAAATGGGCCAGATTAGGAGTACCCTTAACCGACGAGCGTGTATGCGTAGATATATGGATGTAAAAGAGGCGAGAGAGGTGTGTCAGGATCGCGCCAAATGAAAGTCCGTAGTCTCTGCCTACCCCTCTGGGTGACAGGCGTGAGTGTTTATGTTATGTTATGTTAATAGGACCCGATGGTCCTATTATGTATTATGTACCTATGTCCAATCTAAACTATCCTGCGATCAACTCAAACAAACACAAAAAATTTAATAAAATTCGATCGGGTAGTACATGCGGCAATTGATTTTGGTTTATATAAATTTAATGATTTCTTATATTTACGCGAAAACTACACATCGCGTAAAACTAATTTAACGGATATTATCGTGTTTAGTTATAAGTTTTGATTTTCCCAATGTTTCGGACCCTTAGTCACCTTTAGTCAAGGGGAAGGGACTAAGATGTCTGATGTATTGATATTAGAATGTACTTTTTTAGTTTCAACAGCCTCGTGAATTTATATGTATAAAATTGACCAAAAATCTCTTTGGTTGTACTGTTTGTATCTGGCTGGCTTTAATATAAATACTTATAGTCCTATTAGTAAAGAATTAAGAAAAAGAAAAAGTAAAATACACTTTCCCGCCATTTTTCAATTGTTGTGCATCCTTTGTAGGAATCGGTATTCTTTCGATTCTGATGTGAATTGTTGGAGTCATTTTGAAAATGTTGGCAGACTGCAGACTTTGAGAATATAAAAAAAACTTACTTAAACGCGACAAAATCCGTGAAATAAGTTTTATTTAATATGTACTTTATTCTTATATTTACGTAAAAATTAAAAATCGGATCAGACTATCGCAACCATAGAATACTTTTTAATACATTTTACTTATGATCGCAACAGTTTTAAAATTTTAATTGTCCTATACAGAAATAGCATTGTGTTCATTAACGTTAAGGTTACAAATCTAACTTTAAAATGAGACTTTTCAAAAACATGTCGAAAAACCATCAAAAGTGCAAAGTGATAGTGAAAAGTGCAAAGTGATAGTAAAGGTTGAGTGTAAAGTGCAAGATGGCTGAGCATTGGTCGTGGCTGACGGGGGCGGAGGCCAGCGAGTACACGTACAGTCCTCCAACGAGACCTAGCAGGCCGCCACATCGACCCCTGGTGAAAGTGGCCACCAGCGCACATTTGCACACCATTGCCAGGTAACAAATGTTTCTGATTTAAGCTATAGTATGTTAATTAGACTGCCTCATGAGTTCCCGGTTTTGAATCCTAAGTCGGGTCAGAATAAGTTATTGAGTAGTCCTGTAAGAAATACTCAGTAGCAGCCCCGAGTCAGGAAGTTGACGGTGTTTCATTCACCTTGTGCCTCAAAAAGCACGTAAAGCCGCAGGACCAACCAGCGCCTGATCTCTCTATCTCTCTCTATCTCTCTTTCTCTCTCTCTCTCTCTCTCTCCCTCTCGCTGGTCGTGTCGGATTACCGTCCCATCGGACTAGGAGAGTGAGGAAATAGATTGCACCTGTGCTAGTGCACACTTACACATACACTCGGGTACTATAACCTACCTGATGACTAATCTCTATTAAAATCGGCAGCCGTGACCAAAATCGAAATCTGGAGAACATTATTAGTATGTTATTTAATAAATCAAAGATTCACATAAGCAAACAAGACTGTTAAATATTTTTGGCGGCAACTCGATCGCCGCTGGATTGCTGCTCCTGTTTTATCATTTGAATAATGGTTTGAATTGGGTTCTAATACGTAAAGTGGTGAGATTTTGTGTATTCAATGTCAGCGCACGTTAACTATTAGTAGGAACGGTGAAACAAGTGATTCGATGGCGATGTGGGACTTAAGTTATTGTGTCTACTTTGGCGACTTGAAATATTATCCTCATCGACTGTCTGATAGCTCAAGCTGGTATCGAAATCTCCCAATAATTTCGCAATGAGACGTATCGACATCTTGTGATGAAATCGTGAAACAAATTAATAATTGCTTATTCCTTGACACTGACAGAAAACAACAGCACGAATCCATTACGTTTTTAACCGACTTCAAAAAAAGAGAAGTTTTTTTTGGTATACCTAAACATATGGTACTCGATATCTCCGTCATTTTTAAAACCGTTTAATGGTTCTTTTTTTATTAAATAGAAGAAGTAAAATTTCGCCCTGTCAGTTTTAGATGACAACCTATTCTAGCTTACGGAAAATAATATTCTTAACTGAATAACCTAGAGATAGAAACTATGTTAGGCGTTGCTCGACATCCAGTTACATTTGGAGAAGTTTATTTTTATAGAAAAACTAGCTGTGCCCACGACTTTATTCGCATAGAATAATTTTTAATAATTTATTATTATTATTCCCTATTTTTATTGGAATTTATTCACAATTTCAAGGAACCCTAATTCTTTTTCTAAAATAAAATTTGCCTAGTTAGTCCTTATAATATCAGCCATCTTTCATTCTCACAGAATACCAGCGTAAAATAGTAGCTGTGTTTCGTATGGTGAGTGTAGAGAACCGGAGACCCTTTTTACTGGAAAAGAGGCATTCCATCTTAGTCCTCACAGATGACAACATATCTGCATTTTGATTCGCAAACGAGGATAAATGTAGATGTCTATGGGCCACAGCAAACACTTACCATCTGACTGTGTGGACTGTGTGCTCGTTTGTCACCCTATCCTATAAAAAAAATCTGCCGTCAAAATCGGTCCAGCCACTTCGGAGATTAGTCGTAACAAACATATATGCATACCTTTCATATGCATTTAGTAAAAACTGTAATTTAATATAATGTTAATATGTAAGTTTTTGACATTACAAACAGACACTTCTTATTTATCATTTCTTTAAAGGTTTTTATAATATGTTGTTATTGAATGTATGAGAGTGATTAAAAAGAAAACAAATCTTATATCATTTATATAAGTTTTATAAAATAACCATCAGCCCATTTGTAGTTAATTATTGCCAAGCCGTTAATTGTACTTCTCCAAGACGGCCTCTATCATAGTTACTTCCGCAGCTATGCCAGCCTTCTTAGCCGCGATTTTGAAGCAGGCAGCTATCTTAACCACGCGAGCACAGTCATCCTCCATATCATCGTATTGCTTCTCACAATTGTGAATCATTTGCACCATTTTTGCGTTGAGTATATCACCTGTGGAATTGATAAAGGTTAGTTTTGCCGATCGCTTTCGCTTCAAACCGTGTGGTTACCATCATTATTACCATTACAGTTTCTATAGTCCACTGCTGAACATAGACCTCCCCCATAGATCGTCTCACATTTGGCATAGTTACCATGCTTGAGAAGCGAGTTGGCAACCGCAGTTCTTTATTATTTTCAGTTATTAATAGAAGATACTGCTAGAAAGAACAATGGCAGACTTTCATACATAAATTTAGTTGAGAAAAAATGTTAGCGTCTATATATCAAAAATATCTTTAAATGTTAAGCGTCATTGCCTGAGTAATTTTGTCAAAGAATTTTGTCCTTAGAAGGCGTAAAAAAAAGATATTTAGATTTGAACTTTTTTAGGTTATCTCTTATGTCACTTGGAAAAAGTCATGCGTCCTGTGGTTGTTTGATGTTAGCTTAATACATTCTCAACATAATTGAGAGTTTTAGACTATTGTATCTGTATTAAATATTTGCATACCATAAATTTATATTTCTGGCATGGCTTCTGGACCTTTGTGCTATAAAGTGGCATTTTGTTTTAGCTAGTGTTGCCATAACATTAAATGGAATTGGTACATAGTACTATGATTGAGATAATATATTATTGCAGGAAGTTCTTTGTAAGAGACTTATTTTCAACCATATCACTTTTATTTTTATTATTACTGATAGTTATTACTAACAATAACTTCCTATAAAGAAATATTTTATTTGTGTGTTGTGTAAGTGCATACGAAAATAGTATGAATATAGTAAATGGCAACACTTCAATAATGTAAAATGATTAAAATCATTTTATATTCCCAAAAATGTATGTTTTTTTCTGTTTGTTTAATTAAAGTACATTTTTACTTGAAAACCCATAGAAAAATAATTAAACTAATTTTATATATAAGTTATTTCTAGACGTAATCATTTTTGTCAACTATTTTTTTACTCTTGTTATTTACTTTTTCATTTCCTTCTGTCTCCTCTTACGATACTATCTAACGTGCTCAACCAAAGGTTTACCGATCTCACACAAACCGGCGTTTGTATCAAAAATGTGAGAGTCCTTTTTTATCCTTCGCTCTTCCACCGTGTAGTGGCAGTGTCTGTATCTACTTCCCCACTGATTTCCAAACGGAATTCGTTACGAAACGCCACTATATTTACCGTTGCAGCTTATTAAAGTCCACTGTTGAACTTAATCCCATATTCTCCCATAGACAGACAGTCTATGAGATAATAGGGGGGGGGGGGGGGGGATATTCACCATGTTGCCACGCTTGGCAAGCGGGATGGCAACCGCAGTTTTCTTTTATTTTCAGTCGTTATTAGGAAGACGCTGTTGCCCATCTACTGATACGTATATTTGCTGATAAATAAATACCTTCAGGGAAACTCAAGATATAGTCATTCATGTTTGCGTGGTGCATGCGTGCGTCTTCCTGCAGGAGAGAGAACTTGTTGGACATGCAGATGAGCGCACAACCCAGCTCTCTGTGAACCACTTCGAAGTCCTCGCTCCAAAAGATCTTGAACTCTTCCATGGTCTCTTTGGTTAACCCAGACTGTAAATGTAATTTTTTTATTTCCGGTGTATCATAAAGTCCAACCGTGTTGCTTTCATTGTAATACATTTCTAGTTTTGGCTTAGTTTAGCTTAGGACACATAGCTTACCTTAACCTCATTGGACAGCGACATATTTAATAAAAAAAATTGGAGTTAGCTACAGCCATATACATCAGGACCTATGCCAATCCTGGTCTCACTTCTGTGATGGTTTTAGAGCAAGGAAATATCCATCGCACGTAATTCTTTTATTTTTATTTTCTCAGACATGCAAGTTTCCTCGCGATGTTTTCACGCCGAGCGCGTGGTAAATCTTAATAATTTCATTGGTGTCAGCAGAAATCGAACCCGGGTGCCGAGCACTCGGCCCAAAAATAACGACATCCGCCTTTCAAAAGCTATGAGGTGTTTCTGGCATATTCCGTAGTCACCTCTTACGGGCTTACGGCACCCGCAGTACAAAATGTGATGAAATATATTGTTATATACAATATTATAAAACTATAACAAAAAAAAACTAAAACTAATAACTTAGTGAGGGCATCCAAGACATTTTCTGCCACCAGGGCGGCGCCAATAGAAAATGAGGTATAAGATTTCACAGATTTCATAACGGGGAAGTTAATTTGTTCGGAAAATGTAAAGGTTATTGTTTCTTTCTGTACTATTAGTTATATTTTATATTAATAAGATTAAAAATAAATAAACCAAACCCCAAATATTCATAAAAGTAATAAAATTTTTAAAAAAAAGTTAAAAATGCGCAACAAATTAAAGAGCAAACCACTGACACATTGTTTTGTGTATTAATATAATACTCTAGAAACTGATAAACTTTTATTAAAAACCAATTTCTCAATTAAATGACATTGTGTAACTAAAAACTTTACCTCAGTGTCAACTCCCCTTTTCCTTTTCCTTCCACCCGCCACACTAGTAATTTAATTATCATTTCATTATCAATTGTTTAACGTCCTGACTTCATAGTTAGCCTGGCTACCTTTAGCTTTTGAAGATCATAAAATCCCGCGTAAATAATATATAGGTGACGTGAAGCACCGACGCCCCGGAAAGTGTACAGTCTGTAAACATGTTAAAGATCATCCCCGTCATTATATCAGTTTTGATAGACCACCAAAGAACACCGATCCCTACAAAGCATGATTCGCGAGTCTATTGAAATTAAAAGAAAAACATCCTAATTTCAACAGAGAGGATGGATGGGTGCTGGCATCTGATTGGGATTCTATAATTAGCTCGTTCTGCGTAGATCGGAAAATGAATAATTAATATTTAAAAGCTGAAGGTAGCCAGGCAACTATGACGTCGGGACATCAAACACCTCAGTACCCCCTCCCCCGTATATACTCGTATACCCATGGGTAATAATAAGTTAAATTAAAAGTGATAAAATCCGTAATATTAATTTTATTCAAAGTTAAAATCTAATTAATTTCTTACCTCCCCGCGGCATTCCTCTAAAGCCCTCCCGAAATGAGCTGCAGCATGGCTCATTACCTCAGCAGGCTCATAACTGCGAAGGGAATTCGCAGAATCCAAGACTAAAGCGACAGCAATTCCACAACCCAACCAATACCAGGAGGAACCCATAATGTCGTGGTGAGCTAACGAATTCGCACTGCAATGGCTCCTACTGTGAAATCTCTTCATTATAACTAGATTTCATTTTTTTAAATGTATATATGATATGTTATTACCTTATTAGTTATACAACATAACTTTATTTCTCGTACTTCTTCCCTTTGATTATTAGAATAGGGTCTATTTTTGCATTTAAACCGCATTACCGTTTCTTGCATATCGGGCATGATGATACCAGTCGCGTGCAAATAGGCGAAACTACATTCAAGAACTAATTGATAGGCTTTAATATAACAAGTCACGCTGCACTTATTAACCAGACTTGTAAAACGTATGCCGTTGTCAAATTATTTAGGCGTTTTTGATTGTCATCTTTTCGTTGACGGATTATACACTATAACTTGCGATTGTACTTTGTCCACGTGGTCTTAATGACTTGATTATGGAAAATGATATTATGTTGTAGGCTTATTATGAAGGCTAGTAATAGATGCCTTTTATGTTATTATGTCGTTAACTGTTTACTAGGTTAGCTATTATCTAACACTTTATTACTAAAGTGTATATAAGTACTCATGGACAAATTTAGAGGAACGCTGTCTTTACGTGGTAGAGCCAAGCTGCAGCTGTATTACTGGTATAGTTGTAGCATGAATGGGTCGGCTTGACTACGTAAAATAGCAGCTTAACGCTGCTGTGTTTCGTATGGTGAGTGTAGAGAACCGGAGACCCTTTTTACTGGCAAAGAGGCATTCCATCTTAGTCCTCACGGGTGACAACGCATCTGCATCTTGAGTCTTTATTGGGGATAGATGTAGATGTCTATGGGTCCCAGTAACCACTTACCATCAGGTGGACTGTGTGCTCGTTTGTCACCCTATCCTATAAAAAAACGCAAAGAAGTGTGTATAAATCAAAATATCATGGATATTTGTTGTCAGAAAATTAATAAATTTGAAATTCGCTTATTGTTTGTTAATTTAAAGTTGTAAACGTCGAAAATACAAACGATCAAGTGACAATAATTAACCAAATTAAGAAAAAGAGTAACAATTTATAGTAAATAAACATTTTTTTCATAAATGCTTAGTAAATTCTTTAACGTGGTTATAATCAGTAACTAGGTTGCCCCCTCCAGCTCTTCGAACTACTTTCAGTCTCCTTGGCATACTCCTAATCAATTTATCAATAAAACCTGGCTGGATTGGGTTCCATTCTTCCTGTAATACATTTTTAAGATCTCTCAAATTATCGGGGCAAGATTTCTTATCTTACTTTGTTTTCCAAGCTTCTCCCATATATGATCTATGTGGTTCAAGTCGGGCGAGGGCACTGGCCACTCCATAGCATTGATTTTAACATCTCGTAGGTATTCGGCAACTCCAGTCGCAGTATGCGGGCGTGCATTATCATGCCTAAGAACAAATATATCTCCTATAAAAGGGGCAAATGGTACTACAATTTCTTACAAAATCTCAGTTAAATATCGTGCCGCTCCTCAAATACCTCCCCATACCATAACTAAATCTCCATCATATGCTTCTTTTTCATTGTTGTTGAACTGAGCGTTCCTCTCTCCCGGGCGTCTCCACACATAAATTTTTCCATTATCTAGCTTCAGGCAAAATCTGGACTCATCTCTGCATAGAACTTGACTCCAAGTTTCGTCTTTCCAGTTTTCGTAATTGCGATTAAAATTAACTCAAACTAATCGATAGCGTTTGTTAAGAAGTATTAGTGAATTTATTCTGGCCGAATTCAGTCTTTTTCTCACAGTTTTCGAACTTAGTGTGATGACCTGATAAGACATGCAGGAAATCGGTGGCTACATGTGGATCAGCACCGGGCTTTGTGACATTCCTTGGGGGAGGCTTAAGTTCAGCAGTAGAATTGTGAAGGTGATAATAATGATGTAAAGTAGATGGTTAAACCACCACCTAAGAGATGCCAGAAAGCTTTTTCGTATTTTCCATAGTCCAACCACAGTTGTGTTCCAGTATGAAGGATATTCTAGTCCTCAGTGGTAACAAGATACTGCAGGTATCTTGTTACGCGTTCTTCGTTTTAAGTTGATAGTTTGAGGTGACTTATACGTGGTTTAACTACGTTGCATCGTAGTATAGCTCCAGCACGAATAGGTCGACTCGACCGGAGAAGGGCCACGCTTGCAAAGAACGCCAGCATGTATTAGCAGCATAGTGCTATAGTGTTTCGTACGGTGAGTAACAAGAACCGGAGACCCTTTTTACTGGTAATTAGGCATTCTTAGTCCTCAGAGGTGAAAACGGATTTGCATTTTTATTATTAATTGAAGATAGATGTAAGTGTCTATGGGCCAATTATTATCTCACTATCAGGTGCACTGTGTGCTTGTTTGTCACTCTTACTATTATAAAAAAAAAACCTTCTTGTGTGTTGTACTCTGATATTTTACAAAACTAGCGATTCGCCTCGGCTTCACACGCGTGATTTCTGGATTTCGACAACAGCGCCACCGCCAGGGTAAAATTGAGAATCTAAACCATCCATGGAGCCACACAAACACGCACAAAAATTCCAGCCATTTAGGAAGAATTCAATAACAAACACCTGTACACGAAGTTCCTTATTATTGATAAACGTATTATATTATTGATTAACCAATACAAACAAATGTATTACTAGCGTCATTTAAAATAAAATGCACTATGACACAAGGGGTAGTGACGAAAAAATCTTACACTTTTTGGAGCCTAGCTCCCATCCGCCAAACCCGTACCGTCTGATAAGGAACTTCGTTCCAAAAGATAAAGAGTTTGTATTATGAAAATATTTTACTGAACGCAGTTATTTATATAATATATAAATACTTAGTTGAGCTTTAAATCGGTACAATAATAAGAAATTCGGATCACGATTGCCATTCCACGGCCCATTGCTAGTGGAATCACTTTCCTATAGCGGCCGGGTCTGTCAGGAAGTGATGGATGCATGTCGCACGTGACGGTGGCCAGTTGGAAGTTGTTAGAGCTATAGACTAACGAATAACTCCATAGATTTAGATATTACAAAGAGAGAGAGGGAGAGACAGAGAAAGAAAGAAAGAGTTCTGAATACGAGTAATAATAAACTGCAGCTATATAAGTAGTATAGTTGTAGCACGAATGGGTCCGCTCAACCGGGGAAGGACCACGCTCTCACAGAATACCAGCGTAAAATGCCAGCTTAACACTGCTGTGTTTCGTATGGTCGGTGTAGAGAACCGGAGACCGTTTTTACTGGAAAAGAGGCTTTCCATCTTAGTCCTCATGCGTGACAACGCATCTGCATTTTGATACTTTATTGAGGATAGATGTAGATGTATCTATAAGGGCAATTGCACCACTTACAATCAGATGGACTGTGTGTTCGTTTGTTATTCTATCCAAAAAAAAGGTGCATCATGGCTCCACCACGTCTAAAATATGAAAGGAATTAAATGGCCGAACCTCGTCTGCGGAATCAGCGAAGTTACAATAAAAGTTAATAATGCTATTTTTCTTGTAGATGAAAAATAACAGTAAAACTACTAAAAATATTTATTTCCAAACTGTGCTGTTTTCGAAAAGTAATTTCCCGAGAGGTGCAGCTTCCATGAATTTCCTTCACACGCGGTGATTTGTTCCATCAATCATCGCAGAGAGGTGGCGAGGTGGGCATTGAAAACAATCTGTCAAGATATAATGATCCCGTTTCTGACAGTGAGATAGCTATTAGCTGAAAGTTTGAAACTTATTTAAGTATTTACGAATGTGAAAACATAACAATATTATTTTATTTATTTATTTATTTACTCTTTATTGTACACCAAAATATAAAATAACGAGTACAGTTAAATCTAAAGTAGAATATGTAAAACAGGCGGTCTTATCACTTTGAAAGTGATCTCTTCCAGACAACCTTAGCGTAGAGAACTGATGTAAACAGTATATATAAAATTAGAGGGGGGCGTACAAAATAAAAATAAAAATATGAAAATACATATAGTAAAATAACATTTTGGTATACTTTTTAAAAACAAATAAAAAGTTTTGAAATATACGATTAAAAAAATTTAAGTAAAGAGTCTCGGGGATAAAAATTTTAGGAGATCAATATTTTATATACAAATATATAAGTATTATTAAAAAAAAATTATATAAAAAAGGTCACAATCGAGCACACAGTTCACCAGATGGTAAGTGGATGCTGTAGCGCTTTGACATCTACACCTATTCTCGATAAGGAATCAAAACGTTGCGTTGCGTTGTCACCTCAGACTACACTGGAATGCCTCGTTACTAGGTCTCAAATTAATGTCTCCAGATGAACTATTAGTTCGTTTATTTCTCTAAAATTGCAAGTATTTTTAAACAAATTTACTTATCTGCACCCTTGTCGTATAGAGTAACAGATGTACACAGTTGCGCTCGCTTCCCACCTGCTCGTCTTATTATCTCTAAACAATAAAACCGAACGCGACAAACATACACGCGACTTTATTTGCTAGAAAATATAAAAATTTACATATAAAACAGGTCGAGATTTCTTTCAAAATATTTATTCCTCCCCTGGCAACACTACGTGACGTGAATGAATTCGGGGGTTGGTATCTGGCAACATACGATCGCTCATTGTCTGCTCCCCCCTATACGATACATTCAATGTATGCGATTTAGCCTCTCATATTTTTAGAGTTTCGCTTTTGTATTGTGATTTTGTAGTCTCTTCCTTATAAAATTTCACAAACCAAAGAGTTCAGAGAAAGAGTTTTGTGGAAAACTAATTAATGACTACTTATAAATACAGACGTGGTAGAGCCATGCTGCAGCTATATTAATGGTATAGTTGTAGCACGAATGGATCTGCTCGACCGAGGAAGGACCACGCTCTCATAGCATATCAGCATAAAATATTAGCTTAACGCTGCTGTGTTTGGTTTAGTGCGTATAAAGAACCGGAGACCCTTTTTACTGGAACCGAGGCATTCCATCTTAGTCCTAACGGGTGAC